GGAGGAGCGTCGGCACACCGAGCGACTGCGACTTGTCCGTTATATTGGGGAATTACCATCAGTAGGGAACAAGGGTGGTGCTCCCATCACATCACATCAAGGTGCTGCATGTTGTCTGGAAGTTTTGCTGGGATTCCTAGAAGGCGTTTTTTCCTCCAACATCAGCCGGTCGAGTCTTGCTGATGATGCTGCCTTTCATCTCTTGGACGGCCCCGGTTCCCTGCGTTGCAGGGGCTGAGCAGGGTGTCCCCTCTCCTCTTCCCTGGGAACCTCTTAAATGTTGGCTCTAAACTGACACCGGCTTTTTTTGGGTAGTCAGGAAAGCTTGCTCACCTACAGAGCTGCAACTGGAGATAATTACAGTCTGTATCAAAACAAAACATGTTTTATGGCTCTCTTGGTTTTCCCTGGGGGATTTTGCCACCATTTGAGATTTTTGTTTCAATTTTTTTTCGGGTTTTTAAAGAAAGTTCCTTAGGGAAGTGAGAAGGGGAGCCTGCTTCCTGGGATGTGCTGGATCTCCAGGAGTGTTTTGCCGGAGGGAGGTGAGTCTGGACGATCTGGTTTGCGATGCCGTCGTGATGAAGATGTGCCATCGTGCTTGTTGCCTCCCATCCGTCAGGTGTGATTCGAGCACATCCGTATTGTCTGGTGCGGCTGACCGGCATCGCTGAAGTCCATCCATTTAACACAGGCCTATTACTGCCTGATTAACAAGGCCAATTTCTTCTGAAAAGTGGCTAAAATTCAGAGGAGAGTGGAAAAAATCTGCTCTTGCTTAGTTTATAATCCCAGACTGCTGATAAAGAGGAGAGGCTCCACAGCCAGTCCTTCCTCACACGTCGAACTGGAGAGGTTTAATCGTTGCTCTTCATTTGGGTTACTGTGACACAGAGCAGACCGGTACTGAAGTTCCTGACCGTCTGACTTTTGGACTCACTGAACAGCCTGTGGTTGAAAGAATTTCTGCTCTTTTCTGCTAATTTTTGGATGAAGTCGAGTGCTCTCCCCTGGCTTGCCCAACTCTGCAGTGGAGGTGCTCTGGAAATTCCCAGGGCTCCCAGTAAAGCTGCAGTTTCTCCCCTCCCCTTCTCCCTCCTCGCAGCTGAGTGTTAAAGCTGAAGGGCCCCATTCAATAAAGAATCTGAAGCCTAATTTAATTTTTATTGAATCTGGCTGAAAGCGCCTGCTCTTTACCAAGCCTGGAAAGCCTTCTCTTGAAAGGATTAAATAGTTGCGTTACCTGTTTCTGATAACAGCGCTTTTGATTTGTTTCTAGTACCGAAGCCACTTACGTTAAAGGGGAGGGCGTTTTGAAACCCTTCAGATACCATCTCCTCGCGTCCCTGCAAGCAGGGGTTTCATTCACGGTCTGCTCAGTCCTTCCCTCCTGCAGCAAGTGGATGTGCTGAATGATGCTGCCGAAATCCCGCTGACCGGTGGCCATCGAGCCCTGGAGGCTGCTGTGTTGTTTCCTCGGTGTTTGTCAGCCAAGGCCTTGATTTCCTACCCGGTGCGTTCCTCTTCTGCGTCCCGAGACGGCATTTCCTTAACTTTCCAAAAGACGGACTGCTTGTGCTCCAGCTCTGTACTAGCAGGAGATGGCAAAACTGGAAAATCAGAGGGATGCTGTGGTCCTCGGCGACGTGGTACCACTGTCAGGACGGAGCGAGGTGGGTCCACCTAGGTGAGGGACACCCAAAAACCCACTTTGGTGATGGGACCGGTAGATCTCTGGGCTTCCTGCAGGGAAGGGGAGACAGAAGGAGACCTTCGGTCTCGCAGAGAGGCCAAGCAAAAGGTTTGTTCTCCTTCTGTACCGCCGCTGTGTCTCCTTCATGGTCGTGGTGGTGTTGGATGCTGACTGCTGCCGACTCCATCTCTTGGCACAGATCCTGCCGGTGCCTCCGTCGCTGGCTTTGCTTCATGCTCCGACTCCGATTGGAGCGTGGTGATAACGCTCATCATCGCCTGTGTGCCTGCAGACAGGGCTTTGCAGCTTCCATCGGCTCACTGGTGTGCAGAGGGAGCCCAGCCCCAAACCAGCGGTTACTGGCAGGTGCAGGTGTCACTTCTCGTATTTGTTAAAACGGGCAAACTTTTACGATGTTCGGATGGTTTTCCTGGTGCAGGTACATCTCACCACCCTTCTGAAGGCCAGAAGACGACTGTTGTGTGCTCAGAAAGCCTGGACCTCCTTTGCATGCTCCAGTATTGTTTTATTTTTCTGCTTGCCAGCAATATTACAGCTGCATTTGTCTTGGTGTCAGAACAGATGACACCAAATATCCACGTGCGTGAAGCAGCGCAAGGTTTTCAAGTACCGAGACGTAATTCAGTGAAATTGCTTCAGATTGCTTATCAGTCAAGGTGGCACCAGCTCTCCTATGCTTGAAGTGTGGTGTTTTGGGGTGGTTTGGTTTTTTTTTTTTTAAACGATAAGTTTATGTATTGACATAGAGCTCGTTTCGTAGGGACGAAGCAGCTTCCCGGTAGGGAAGAACCTGTGGGATGACTTGACTGCACCGCGGGGTGGGTACCACTATCTCGGGGTGCTTTTTTAACGTGTCCCCAAGCAAATGCTGCAGCAATGGCAGGTGAGGAAATGCCTGCACTCCCTCACTGTGCATCAGTCTTTGTCTGCGAGGTAGCTGGGCTTCTCCTTCCTCCTCCTCCTCCTCGCTTTCTTTTATCTCCCAAGAGTATGAAGTGGAGGAAGAAGCCGTGGAGGCCCTTTCATGGCCAAGTTAATTGGAGCTCGGCGCTTTCCCAGCAGCCGGATCCAGACCGCGGTGCTGGGTGCGGTGAAGCTTCTCGCTATGCCATGGTGTCTTAAATACCCCACCGCCACTCACGGCTTCAATTTAACCTGGGGTCACTTCTTAGGGATGGGGGTGGAGAGCGGCATTTCATGTGTCTTCCGTGGCTTGCCCCTGCTTGCCTTTCTATATTTGGTTGCAGTAAACGTGCGTTTTCCTGCAGAGAGACGAGACCGTCAAGTAGAAAGAAGTCTTAAGGTGCTCAGCCTGAACATGGCAGCCTCTTGGAGATCGCATTGTGCCGGAGGCTTGGTCGGGCTTTTTTTTTTTTCCCATTGCATTGCAGATTTGCATTTGTTTTCTTGCTGCCTGCTGCAACTGCACCCCCCCCCCCTTTTTTTTTTTTTTTTAAAAAAAAGTAAAGTTTCTCTAGCACGGTTCATACCCTTGAAACCATATTGATGTTGTAGTTGAACTTGTGTGACAGCTGTACTTCGGAAGATATGTAATTATAGAGGATTTATAACTGAGCCAGAACAACATTTTCCTGGCAGAAATTTGGCTCGACGAAGCTTTATCTCGTGAGTGACTTCGAGCTAAGTTTAGGAAGCTCCACCTGAAGCAGGCGTGGAGGAGCGGAGGTGCCTGAGATTCAGCTGCTTTGGCCTCGTCTTTCAGCTCGGAGCACGTAAACCTTTTTAACGAGCCCCTGCGAGCTGCTGGCACGTGGAGTGAAAAAAGTTATTGCATTCTTGAGATGGCCACGTTTTAATTCTGGCTTATTCCCCGGTTGTTTGCCATCGTCCCCAGCCCCGATCTGCATGTCGGTAGGTAAAGACCTCCCTGAGCTGGTCTTGTCCTGTTTTCAGGTGGAGCTCTCTTGGCTTTTTTCTTTGTTGTAGCTGGTTTCTTATCAGCCTGGGAGCAAAGAAATGGGGTTGGGATGGGCCCTGTGGCTCCTTCCCCTTTTTACTGCATCTGTTTGCCACAGGGCATTTCTGCACCTGGAGGAGAGGCAGAGGAAGATGGAGAGCAAGCGTGGGTGGGGATGGTCCTGTGTGTGCCTTCATCCTTTGAGCGAGAAGGTGCCTCACATTCCTCGCCGACTAACAGGGCAACTTCGCCCGAGAGCGTAGGCAGAGCAGGAAAAACCGCATGGAACGGGATTTTCTGTATTTTGGAAGCTTGCTACCAAACTTGGTGTGCCGTGGCATTCATACTGATAGCAGGGGACTCAAACCACACCTCGTGTCCCGCCAAAAACCCGAAAAGTCTGCGGCACGAAGACTGCGGATGAAGCCTTACAAAAACTAAGGCTGGGCGCACAGTGCGGGAGGGAGTTAAGCTGCCCTCGTTGTGTCCCTAAACGACTCGAGCGTTTTCCGCCTCCTCTTTCTAGTAAATCTTGTCGAGTCACAGCCAGTGGTGTTTTAATGCCGAACGAGGGATTGTGCCCCTGTTCTGAAGGGTTTTGGGGTGTTCTCGCCCTTCAGGTGCGTGGGGTTCCTTCTGCTTGGGAAACTCCCTGCCTGGCTGGTTTAGGATCGGGACTAAAAGCGTGCCGGCACGTCACTGCATGCAGGCGCGTGGGAGGTCGGTGCTTCTCGAGGGGAAAGGTTGGGCTTGGAGGTCCCTGCCAGCCCCGGGGGAGTTAAACTGGGTCTGCCGCAGCCGTTTTCTGTTTGCCATAATACTGATTGTGTCCTTCTGTCCACCTCTGTCCTGCAGGATGGACAGAATGACGGAAGATGCTCTACGCCTGAACCTCTTGAAACGGAGCTTGGACCAAGCAGACGATCGGGATGATGTCCTGGCAAAGAGATTGAAAATGGAAGGACATGAGGCCATGGAGCGCCTGAAGATGCTGGCACTGCTGAAGAGGAAAGACCTCTCGGGCATCGAGGTGCCCCACGAGCTCGCGGTGAAACAGGATGGTGTGAAAGTCTACGAAGAAAAGCTGAATGGGAGCCTTAGGCCCCATGGGGATGGCAGGACTGCAGGGAGGCCGGGGAAGGAAAACATTAACGATGAGCCGGTGGATATGAGCGCGAGGAGAAGGTAGGTGCCAAACGACTAGTCTGTAGCTTGCCTGTTGTTAATTCTGTGCTCTGCCAGATGTGAGAAGCCAAGTCAGAAATTAAATCGACATTTTGTGGTCCTGGAGGCCTGGGGGAGTCTTCCCGCTGTCTGCAAGGTCCCTTTGGCTGAAGGCCGAGGAGTGGAGCCTGCTCTCCCAGTAGAGTTTCTCTGGACGGCATTCAGCACTATTCTTTCATTGTTTTTCCTTCTGCTGCCCTTCTTATTGCACCCCAAAACCAGATGGATTTTGTTTCTTCCTCCGTCCATACGTTCAGTATTACGAGCTACAGCCGTCGGGTGGCTGGCAGAAGGAGGAGGACGTCCCCTCCAGCCGGGACTTTTTATTAGCACCTACAAAAGCGGCAGCAGAAGTCCCTTACTTAGCCAGAGGCCAGATCTGACGCAAGTGGCACGGACAGTTGCTCTCAAACCTGACCCTGGCCAGGCTAGAGCCTCTGCGAGGAAGAAATAAATGTGGTTTTTTTTAC